CCACCACCACAAAGAATGTGCCACAGAGGCTACAGGAGGCCCATAAAGCCTAATATATCATATGGCCATCGTGTGGGCTTCATGGGAGACATCTGCGGACTGGCTATGGGTCAGTCCCTACTCTTCTTCCTTCCCTCAATTTGCATATTTACTGCGACTGGGCTCAGGCTGAGCGTCCTCGCTGGAACACGTGTATGCATGCTTGTGTGCATGTGTGTGTGCATGTGTGCATGCGTGTGCGTGCAGGGGTCCTCCCAGGGCTTCTCCTCCTCAAAGGAGCCTTTCCTGCTTGTGATTCGTAAGTCTTCTGTGGGGTGATGCTTGGAGACTGTTCCCAGACACCCTCTATCCCAGAGGTAGTCAGCTGGGTAACACATAAGTTTACACAGTGGTGAAACGCCTCACGTGCTGAAATCCTTTCCTGGGGACATGTAGATGTTCCTGTTTTCTGAGTGAAGTTTGGAAGAATCCTGTGCCCCCTTTAGTGGAGGCAGTGAAGTCCCCATTTCTCATTTTGATCAGTGCCGGGACAGTCGTAATTCGCCGGGCTTGGAGACTAGATGGGATTTGAGGTTCTGTAGCCAATCACGTAGACTGACTGATCCCAGGGGAGGTGACCTTTTCCAGGGCTGCACAACTGGCTCTCACAGCCCTCACGCATCCTCACTTCTCTGCAGATGCCTGTCCCTGTTTCCAGGAGAAACTGGACCCACCCACACCAGCCCCACCGCTCTGCAGAGCAGCAGGTCTGGCTGCTGCCCTTGAGCATAGCACTGTGCTCAGGCTCACTCTCTAGGCCCTGGCTGGGTGTCCCCACAACCCCCACCCCCAACCCAGGCATCATCACCCAGACCCCGCTGCACCGCGGGATCCACCAGGAGCCACATGTCTCGGTCTCGGCCACAAGAGGGTAGCCTAGGCACGGGATGGCCAGAGTATCGGCATTATCTAAGGCAACTCTAAAATCCTTGCCTCTGGAATCTTTAAAACTCCAAAATCATTGCTAAAAGAAATCAAAGAAGACATAAATAAAAGGAGAGCTATACTGTGCTCATGGGTCTGAAGACTCAATATTATTACAATTCCACTGCCCACCAAACTGACATGGATTTGGTGACATTCCAAACAGAATGCCAGCATGCTTCTGTTTTCTTTTTTTTTTCTGGTAGAAACTGACAACCTGATTCCTTAACATACATGTAGAAGGCAGAACTCTAAAGGTGTCTACCAAGACCCTGATCCAAGACCCAGTACCCTGGTCATTCACTCTCTAGCGCTGCCGTGGAGGGACTTTGGAGACATAGTGAAGGTTACTAATCAGCCAACTTTAAGAGAGGGAGATTATCCTGGATGATGTGGGTGGACCCAGGAGACGAAGGCAGGAGAGGAGGTTAGAGGTGGCAGGCAGCCTCGAGAGGCTGAGGA